AGATTCCAGCATATAATAAAAGTTTATATTGTACTTATCCCCAAAATTTACTATTGTCCCAATATAGTAATTCTGCCAATCTTATCCGGATCATCAATTAAATATAATTAAACAGTGTAAAGATATAGATATAACATTTAGGTCTGAAGAAGAAAGCTGGTATATCCAAGAGTTGGGATTTACAATTACAAGTTTACTAGACACTAAAAAAAAAAGTAAAAGTAGAAGTATACAGGCTAAACTAGATATATACTATATCAATTAGTTACTTGACTCTAGTGGCAAGAACTTGTTAATATGGCAACAAGTTAAACAGAAAAGTTAGAGGCAGAAAGTATCAAGTATATAAAGAATTTTAACTTGCTAGTAAATATCACAGCCTTATTACTTGAAGGAACAAAAACTAACTTTAAAAACAAAAGAAATAAATATATATTCTATACAGATAGCTTATAGTTACCAAATAAATATAATAAAAGAGAAGAAAACAGAATAGGTGCAGGCTGAATCCAGGTTTCCAAAGATGAAAAAAAAGTAGTGTTTGAAGGCAAAGTAAGAGTAGGTGATTGGCTCTTGTTTACAAGACCAGAACTATTAGTGATATTATATATACTATTAATAGTATTAGCAGATATACTAGTCAAGATTAAATCAGATAGTGTAGCAGCAATTTTGGCAATAAAGAGTGCATTTAGAGAAAAAGAGTTTAGTAAAAGTCTAAAAAAGAAAAACAGAATGTTACTTGACAAAATTATAAAGACAGTCCAATTTAAGCAAATTAAGCTAGAACTAGTAAAAGTAAAAGCATACTCAAATATAAAATGGAATAAAAGACAGATAGTGTTGCAAAAGAGGGGGCCTTTTTTGATATAATATGTAGATAGCCAAGTACACTCTAGCCATGATGGAACTTCGATATAGCCTAGTCAAACAAAAACATTGAACACTTGCTACATAGCTTTATACTCAGAGTTAAAAGAAAACTTATAGAAAGTGAATAGTACTTGTCAAAAAGCCTCAAACTATTAGAAAAATAGAAGCAGAAAACAGCACAATATGGTCCTTGTGCTGGAAAAGGCTAATAGAACTCAAAAGGCAAAGATGCAAGACATTGATAAATAGTAATAAACTGGTTATTTGATTAAAAGGTCTTTTTCAAGTACTCCCTATATTGAGTATACTTTATCAATGCAAGCCAAATATATATGTCTCAGCAAACTATGTATTGTGCAAGAAAAATAAGATTGAAGATATGAATTATCTCTTTGAATGTGAAAATTTAGCAGATATTTGAACAGAAATTGAAAAGCAGGTGCTAGCAACAGCCTAGACTATACTTAAGGAGAAGATAAGATTCAAATATACACTATCAGATCTTAAAAAAAATAGTATATAGCAATACACATCAAGCAAGACAAGATGCAAGAAAAAGACTTACTCTATGCTTGGTTTAGCAAGCAGACTTCCTTCATTTATACAAGATAAATAAAAAGTATAGCTCAAGTCAACAATGCTTTGAAGCACTGGCTTATACTATACAGAAGTGCTTTTACAAAGTAATATAGAGAGAAAGATGTAAAAAGTTTGCAGAGTGAGAAAAAAGTAAGGGAATAAGCAGAATAGCCAAGTTAAAAAAGCGAGACAGAAAAGCTACGAAAGCATTAAAGAGGAATATAAGTACAGAAGCTTTAAAAGAAGTATGCTTATCAAGTTCAAGTTTATATAAAAAAGACCAGACAAACAAAAACCTCTCAAACAAAAGATACAAGATTATAAAAAATCTTCTAGACAAAGAAAAAGAAGAAAAAAAGAAGTCTTGGCTAGCAGAAGAGACAATATGGTAGCAGATTACAAATTTATTTTCCCCCAGGTGGTAGTTGAAATAAATATTAGAGTATGTAAAATTCAATTTATAGGTATCTAAACACCTGGTTATAGCAGGTCTTTAAATATAAATAGCATTATATGTGAGATCAGTTGGCCAACATCAGTGTAATAACCATACTTAGGCACTTTATAAACAACCAGGTACTAGTCTAATAGATAGTTAGATAGTTTATTATATAAATAACAAATATCTAATAAATTAGTATGTGGTTATCAAAGAAAAAAAAAAAAAAAAAATAGCTTATATTTTTAAATATAATCAAAGGTTTCTCTTGTTGGTATAAATATGGAAAGTATAGATTTACTCTAAAAATCTCGATAGATTGTATTATATTAATAATGCTAATTAATTCAATTACTTTTTTTAAATTAGTTCTAGAGTTATATTTTTGAATATAACCAGTATGATTCGTCTTGATATAAATATGGAAAGTATAGATGTACTTTAAAAATCTATTCTATTAATTGTATTATATTAATAATACTAATTAGTTTAATTACCTTTTCAAATTAGTTTTAGAGATTATAACTAGACAATTTTATTGGAGATTGCAAAATTACAACTTTTCTCGCCGATCTCTTATACCAAAATTCCACAAAAGAAAAATAGGCTATAGTGCAAAAACTGAAGCAAAAACCATAAAAGTGGAAATAAGAAAAGAGAAAGAGAATCTAAAAATACATGTAGTTTAATAACAAGAAAGGATTTCCAGTAGCCTTGATAGAGCTGAGGGGAGCAAAACTAAAGTTTTTACAACTTAATGAACAAAAAGTGGGGCACTTGCAGTTGACCCAGAACGTAGATCCCGGTGTAAACAAACAAACACATCACATAATAGTACAACACAGAGATAAACAACACAACATGAAAGTCGTAGATAAACCAAACAATAAACGCGTTTCTGGCAAACAAACCACATGCAGAACAAATGCCGAATTCTAGAAACACAATTTTAAGTAATACAGTACAAGCGATCTACAACAACTGCAAGATGCAGACGATGAGGCTTAGCCAAGTAGTACAAGATAATCAATTATCACTCAGCATAGAGTGGGAAAAAAAGTTTGAAGAATACAAGAACTTTTTTAAGATGCCAAGCGAGCAAATCCAAGAAAGCTTAGAAAAACATAAAGCAAAAACTCTAAGAAAAGATAGGGAAATCGCAAATATCGCTGGTACAGAGCCTGAAGTAATATGCTAGTCAGGTGTATGTTAGAGCTATATGACTGGCTTAAACACCAAAGAATTAGAGAGAGTGAAAAGAACAAGACATCACATCTTTCCGAGGCAAAAATCTTAAAAGGGTTGTTGGTAGAAAAAGAAAGCGGTCAGACAGACTTCGGAATTACAGAGCTACAAAAGAAAATTCAGAAGACTAAGCCGTCGTATCAAAGTTTAGCAGCCGAAGAAAAACCCGTAATCATAGAGGACCGTATACTGGCAGATGTAGAAATAAAAGAAGGAGCGGGGTATAAAGAAGCTCTGCAGAATAGCCTAATAGTCAAGAAGGCAGCTACACACTCTGTAGCAAGTGTTAGCTCGAACCCCAAAGCAAAACTAGTGGACGAAAAGCTTCACGAATCTAGTGGTAAACTAAAAGAGAAAAATAGCTCAACTGA